ATGAGAGGGCGGCAAAAATACTGGACAACAAATATTTGTACATAAAAATTAAAATCAAATAACATTTAAGTACATCCATCCATGAATAGAAATGGGCATTTATTTCTAGAAAACGAATCCTTCACAACAGGACCTGAATATTGACTTTTCATGTTCCGCCATAAAAGAGCATTCGACTGGAATTAACAGATCTTCTAACAAGGAATCATTTTTTCAGAAAAAATGTTAAAAGGTGAAATGAAGTTCAGGAACTGAACTTTGGTTACTGGTTAGTTTATTCTACATCGAAAAATAGTGTATGTTCTATTTCTTGTAATCTATTTCAAGCGCAACCGACTTCTTTCACTACAGGTTTTAATGACTGAAAGAATGCTGACGTCAGATTAAAACAACATAAAAAATCAAAGAACAACACGCAAATGTCTTGAGTATATTTAATCGAGGTAAATTTAAAAACAGAATAACTGTTCCATAACAAATAGGTACGTTCAGAAGCGAAGTACAATACTGGCGCAACGTTTTGCAACGTGTTATTGCAACAATAATTACACTGACCACAAGGGGGCTTGCCATTAGAGGAGATAATTCAGTCATAGGATCAGGTCTAAACGGCAAATTTTTTGGTTGTCTAGAACTCATAGCAGAATTTGATCCTTTTTTACGCGAACACCTTACTAAATTTGGAAATATTGGTCAAGGGAGCTATAATTATCTGTCAAACACTATATGCGAGGAACCAATAATTTTGATGGGAAGAAAACTAAGAAGAACGATTGTTGGTGAATTAAAGCAAGAAAAATCTATTCTATAATAGTTGATTCGACACCAGACGTGTCTCATGTTGATCAGCTAGCATTTTTAGTTCTCTATGTTTCTGGTGATGGTATGTCGACTGAAAGATTTATTAAATATATTCCATCTGAAGGTCACAAATCTGCTGCTTTGGAATCGACAGTGATTTCGGCTTTAGAGGAATGTACGATTTATTTAAGTGATTGTTGCGGCCAGTCATATGATAACGCATCAAATATGTCTGATAAATATTTAGGACTGCAGGCCAGAATAAAAAATCACAATAAACTTACTGAGTACGTAACTTGCTCTGGACATTCTCTCAATTTGGTAGGATCCTTGACAGCAGAATGCTGTCTGAACTCCACTTCCTTTTTCATTTTTTTTACAAGAATTATATACATTTTTCTCGGTTCCCACATATAGATGAAAAATTTTGACTGACAACTTAAAATCACCTGTTGTGAAACCTCTTAGTGAAACTAGGTTATCTGCAAAGGCGGACGCAAGTAAAGCGTTATATACTGACTTCAGCGAAATAAAAAAATGCTCTTTTTAATATCTCTAACGATGAACGTTAAACTGTAGCTATAAAACATCAAACACTTTCTATATTTGAAAAAATGGACACTTTTGAAATGGCTTTATTAGCTGTCATTTGGTAACATATTTTAGAAAGAGTGAACCTATCCAAAAAAATGTCCAGAGTTCTGGAATGGATCTGGGTTCTGTCATTAAAGAGTATAAAGATTTTTCAAATTACTTTACCTCAATCAGAAATAATTTTGCCATATGAAGAGAAAGCCAAAAAATTGTGCCTAAATAAAATATATAAATAAATAAGAAAAAGAAAAAGAAAAAGAAAAATTCAATTTGACCAGGGGGCCGATGATGAACTAAACTTTTCAGCTACTGATGAGATGATAATCCACACATTCTATATTATAATCGACACTCTGGTAAGGAGACCTGAATAGACGTCTGGAATTTTATCGACTTATTTATCAACATGATCGTGTTATAACAGATTTGCCAAAATTAAACAATGAAGAAATTATTAAAGAAGCTGAAACTCTGATACAAATTTATAAAGACGACCTAGATACATCATTTATACATGAATGCATTCACTTAAAGGGTCATTTGGACACCACAATAAAATCACCAATTAACATATCTAAATATTTAAAGAAGAGTGGATTGGAAGATATTTTCCCTAATTTTGACATTGCTTTGCGCATTTATTTGTGCATCCCAGTTTGTGAACGTGTACGCTGAAAAGTCATTTTCGAAAATGTCAAGAATTAAAAATAATTTCCGATCTATTATGACGCAAGAACGTTTTAACAATTTCATTTCATTTAAAGTAAAAATCTTTTTCCTAGTATCCGTCCTACAGAAACATTTCTTCTAGTAAAACATCTTCTTGACCATAATATTACAAATCCAATTATTCAATCGGAAATTTTACATCTTCTGCATAAATGAGGACTACTATCAATTTAATAATCAAATATATATATATAAAATTTTAAATCTAGAATATATATATATAATATATATAATATATATATATATATATATAATTATATTCTAGATTTAAAAATATAAATAAGATTTGAAAACAAACATGAGTTCTTCTTATTTCAGTAACCTACCCATACTGACAGAACTATACATAATTCATCATCCTATCCTACACAATATAAATTAGCCTAGCCATAATTACATAGAGTAAGAGAAATTCCCATGTCAAAAATAACTTCGTGATAGAAGTGAATATCATTAAGCAATTACCCGTAATCAACGGGTACAACGAAAAAACAATAAACAAAATGTTAAACCAAAAACTGCGTAAGATAGCTCTAAACTTAGTCTTTCTACCACCCGAGAAAAAACCCAATACCTTTTGCTCGATTTGATATCCAGTCGAGATAACAACAAAAATAGCCTAACACAAAAAAAAGAGAAAAATAACACCAGCTTTGCCCAAACACTTACATCGGTCAAATTGGTAGAAGCTTCAACAAACGTATAGCAGAACACAAAAGGTCTTTCAATAACAGAAAAATAGATTCAACGTACGCACTTCAGCTTCTAGAGCATTTTTATTCTTTTAATGGCCGATTTCAAATTCTCACTGTCCCCAAAAAATAAAAGCCTTCAAAATCTATGAAAAGTAATAAATAATTAACATGGGTACATAATAATTATTATATACATAAAGATGGTTGTAGATAGTTGATGAGAAGAATATAACTGCTTGTAAAAAATTCATTGATGACAGATAGGAAAAGAGGACTTCATTCCACTTGATTAATATAAAAAAATTAAATAGATATTTAAACAATTGAATTACATTTATTTCTACATAAACGCTTTAAATGTTTCTTAATTTTTCTACTAAACTATCTAAAATTGAAGATCAGGTGCAAGTGTCATTTTTTTGGTTCATTTTTTATAAGTAAAAAATTTACAGTGGGTATAATCCGCGCTTTATTTTGTTTAAAAAAATCAACTTGTAGTAATATTAAGAAAAACCCTTTTATATAATGTATAATATATATATATATAATATATATATATATTATATATATATATATATATATATATAATATATATATATATAATATATATTCATATTTGTGTTAGTTAATTATAATTTTCAATTCAACTTACGATTAAAATTTTGTTGGTGCGTTATTTCCAGCAAAATTTTGTATAACAAAAATTAAAAAAAAATTATTAAAATTAAAAGGATACGTAAATTAAAAAAGTTCTTGTACTTACCTACTTCTTGAAAATTGTTATTTTCACGTTGACACGGATTGATGTAACAGAGCAAGGTTGCTCCTTATAAGGCGCTTTTAATCTTGTACTAGAAAAAGCCACTTTTAAAGGTAGATGTCAACTAGATACTTATCGTCTTGTTCTGTAAAATAATATAATGTATTGTTTGAATTTTTATTCCCCTTCTTACGAACTGTACTACTTTGCAGTTGTATTATTTTTAGACCGTCCTTGTTCAGGTTAGTAAATAATAAAATTTTGTGTTTTATTTAAATTTATTATATATTTATTAATTTCAATTTAAATGTTTTATTATGAGGCTGAAAGTCTTTGTTAATATTGGGCTGTCATAAAATTTATTTGCTTCACCAGGATGTGCTAAAATAAATTTAAATTATTTTTTAAGTAATACAATGAAAAACGAAAGAACGTTGTATAGAAAACATAAAAACTTACAAGATGAGCTTAGTCCATAAAATTTTTTACATTTTCACAAGTTTAAACTTATTAAACTATTAACAATTACAATGTGTTAATTTTTGTAGATATACTCATCTGTTTTTATTATATTGTAAAGTCTCTTTGATTGGAAGATAGTTTCAAGATTCTTTGTTTAATTTTTAAGAGCAGAAGACAAGCATTGGCTATCTTAGTAAAAAACAGTTTAAATAAGATCTCCTCACTTCTTAGCAATAAGCCAGAGCTTTGTTTAAATTCACGCAGAACGTTTTGAAAAGTTTCAGATCGAATGGCATGAATTTCAGTTAGAATTCTTTCTCTCAGTTCGTCAAAATTATTGAATTGAGTGGCATGTACTTTTGATTTAATATATTCCCACAAAAATCTAGTGAAGTAATATCTGGCGACTTAGCTGCCCATTTTATGAAGCCTCTACTCCCAATTGATTGATTTGGAAATATTTCGTTCAAATAATTACAAAACGTTCGCATCATATTGGATATTCGCTTCATTTGGGATATTCAGGCTATCATTTAGAAATAGCGCGATTAATTTTGTAATATTTTCTGTATCAGTAAGTCTACATATTTTGCACGAGGAAGATTTCCGTCGAAATTGGGCCGATAATTTTTATGTCAATAATTCTTGCTTATACATTAACCTTTTAAGAGAATAAGGCATGGTCTTCCATTATCCAGTGAAATTTGTTCGTACCCAGTATCGACGGTTTTTTTTATTTACATTGCCGTTTATAATAAATGAGGATACATCTAAAAAAATGATACAGTTAACAAAAACCGGATTTCTATTACATCACTCCATTTATTCGGAAAATTATAATCTTCTTTCATCTTCGTTTAATTATTGCACTAATAGAGCTTACATAAAATACAAAAATTCATGAAAACCAATATTAAAAAAATATTTATTTTTTATTCTGCATTTATATCACGATATTTTTAATTTGAATTCATAACTTCTTTTATCCATGGCAAGTATTTCGCAACATCTGTGAAAATTACGTATTGGGAAGTATCGCAAATCCCTTCAGTTTGTAACGCTACGCCTACTGAAACAATACCTCTAATTTGCCACACCGGGTTTTGTCCACTTGAACTTCTTTTAGGGAACACCATAGATCCTCCAGAGTCTCCATTACACACAGAGGTTCCTAAAAATTAAAATTGATAATTCATTTAAATATTTTTAAATAGATGCATTTACATTGTAACATTTTTTATATAATTAAAATATTATTTATTTTTATTCCTTTTACCCATGTGGATAATACGCCGATGATCGTGTGTACGATTAGAAATGTTTATGACGAAAGAATTTACGTACCAAAAATAACCCGGGATTTCTCTAATTAAGAAAGGTTTTTAAATCCTTTCCGTCTAAATCCTGAGTATGAAAGGAATACATGCGTTTCGGTATGCGGGTTTTTTTCATAAATTCGTAATTTTTCGTTGAAGGCATGTATAGTAATCAATTGATAATAACATAATCCAAAGGATTGTATATTTGATCACGTCAATTACTAGTACCTATCGTAAATACCTTTAAAACTTTTCGATGTCCATTAGAATATTTTTACCTTCTCAGAACTACATACAACTGGACCTATGATTTCTAAGTGGGAGATATCCCCTCTTTTTTCTTGGTAGTTTGTAAAATTTTAGAAAAACCAATTTACATTTTCGGTGGGCCGTTGTGGAGTAAGGGTTATTTTCTCGTGAGACGCTTTGCTCACTTATTAGTTATCTGACCGTCCTTTGAATTATTTCTTAAGTGTGTATACACTTATTTATTTGAGTCTTTTCGATCTGATACTATATTAGATTATATATAGTTCTAAAGTACCTTTAATGGTAATTAAATTCAGTGTTTGATACAAGTAAGTATTAAGTACAGTCTTTAATTTCAGTGAATTAGGCAGCAGTCATCAGGTATTGCTGTAAGTTACCATAATATCTGGGAGAGTATTATGGTATGGTATCATATCATCTGCCATTATCTGGACGTATCTAAAGTTAATCCATGTCTTTACCTGTAAAGTGCTGATTTTTGTATTCAATTTAAAGAACATTTCATTAAATTCAAAAAATTTTAATAAGTAATAAAGTATGAACATTTAAGGCTGTTTATCATTAAATAATAGTGCGAAGCAAATAATCGGCTTAACCAAGTACGGTTTGGTTAAGTTTTAATGTCTGTAACATTTTTGTATTTTTGTAAATTAGCTTGATTATCTTTTGTGTTTATTCCATTTTTTTTTACTGTATATCTCGAGGTACGCCCACAAAACTTTATTTGTACATGATTGTATGCATAGCTTTGTAAAGGTATTTTCTAATGATAAACTGCTTATTTTTATACGTATACCACCATTTTATAGTTGTTGGTGTACTTTTATTACTTGTGTTGCATTCAACAGCGTCATAATTTTGTTGTTGAATATATTGTTATTGTTTTATGTATGTATTTTATTTGTCGGCTCCTAACAAGTTCCCTGATAAAATAGTAACTCTGAGTATTGCTTTTTACCTTTATAAATATTCCTATACCTTTGACCAATAGAAGATCAGTCTGATTAAGTTTCGTAGGTAAGTAAGTGTAATACCTAATATATTTATTAATTGTTTATATAATGTGTTGACCAAATTTTATTTGATAATTAACTGTTGGTATCTTTCCTTGGGTTTGATCTCTGAACCTAAATATCTTTCCTTATCTCTTTTCTTTTCTAAGGTTTCTTAATTTTTCCTTAACCCCAAAAAAATTGAGTGGCGCCCTGTTTCTATCTTATCGTATCTTTGGTAATTTTACCCATCTACCTTTTTGTTTATTTCTGTATCTTTTCTAATATATCTTTATCTGTTCTATCTTTTACTTATTTCATACGTTGGAACCATTCTAGGTTCCAAAAGCTAGTTTCGAACCCACGACTCGCTCTCCACCAACCATCTGGCTGCCGTCCGCAGTGTCTCCATTGGTGACCTTTCTAGCACCATCCAAAAAAAGGTTTCCGAGGTTACAACATTAGTAATTCAAAAAACCTGTTATAGAAAGCTGTTATAGTTATACCACACCGTTCTTTTTCCTTCATTCAATTCATTTATATGCCGTTTTTAATATATTGCTTGTCACATTGTTACTAAATCTTATTAGCTAAATTCTTTCAAGTTCAAGATGTATACTCATAGAAATATCATCATCATTATCAATTATCCGCCTTTATACGGAGTCGCATCGTGAATTAAGTTTCCCCATCAATTCTATCTTGGGGCAAACCACAATATTTCTCTCCTACTCCTTCTAGGAACTTGATTCATTCTTCGTAGTGAGCGATTAGCATCTCAACATTGAACCATATTAAAGTAAACGTGCCCTAACCATCTTAACCTATGCTGTCTCATTCTTGCATCAATTGATGCCACACCTAGACTTCCCCTAATATATACATTTTTAATTTTTAATTTTTTGTCACTCCACTTATTCATCTAAACATTCTTATTTCCCAAATGCATTCGTTGTCAATCTTTCGTTTTAACTGCCAACAATTCAGTTTAGTACATCATAGCTGGTCTTAGAGTAGTTTCATAGAAATTTCTCTTCAGTTTCATTGCAGTCTTCCTATCACACAAAACATCATTAGCCTCCTTCCATTTCATCCACCCCGTCCTAACTCTTTCACATTACTCCGTCATAACAATTCTAGATACTTAAAATTATTACTTTTCTCTAGTCGTTTTACCATCGAAAGTTGATAGTAGTAACTCCATCTTTAAACTGACATTCTAGGTACTCTGTAGTTTTCCTATAATAATAATAATAAAATATTTCCTATAATAAATCCATAATGAGAGAATAAATACAGACTAAGTGAGCTCTGATTTAACCCTACTTTTAAATAAAATTTATCAGTCCTTCCCACGCCTATCCGTTTGTTACACCATTAGCTGTTAGAGGTAATGGATATTAACAAAAGCTATGAGTCATGTGGATTCAGTACACAAGTTTATGTGTTATTTACAAGGTCATAGCTCTTGTTAAAATACATTACCTTTACTCCCTCATACCTATATATCTCTCACAATCTTCACATATTCACCGGGGACTGTGGGGACCGGGGACAAATGTGCGTGCGTTTATTTATTCCTATACTTTTCCATCAGTTGTATTATAACCAAATTTATCTGTTGTTCATCTACTTTGTATAAATTCAAAATAATTTTGGATATTTCAGGTTCTTCACGTATCCGCCTATAAAATACTCCGTTCCATATTTTCATGGTGTAATCAAGCAGTTTTATAGCAGTTTCAAATTATGAATTCATCAATCAGCCAATCGCGTCCACTGCTGGACATAAGCCTCCCTCAGTTCTTTCCAGCGTTCTCTACACTGGGCCGCTTGTAGCCAGTTTTCCGCTACACGTTTTATATCATCGGTCCATCTAGTCGGTGGTCGTCCTCGGCTTCTTTTATAGTTTCTGGCCTCCATTACATAATACGTCTTGTCCACCGATTCTCTTTTTACTCGAGAAGGTCGTCGTCCGCTCGAGCGAAATCTGGGCCACCGGCAGTTTATACTTAAATAGAAATTTTGTGGTAAAGAGGATCAGTTAGTAAGAAGATAAATTCGCGCTCGCGTATTTAAATGTACGATCGTAATAATAAATTATTGTAAGATAAATTATTTTAAATAAACTTTAAGTAAATTAAGTTGTGTTATAAATATTGAACCTTAAGTAAATTAAATTAAGAACAATAAATTAGAATTAATAAAAACATTATACTTTTTTATATAAGGCGCCGTTTTTATGCAAAAAAAATAAAAATTCTAACGTGTATATTTCATTTCTTTAATCTGTAAAACTGATGAAGTTATCTCCAGTTTATCTTCTGAAGATACTAGAATAAGTAGAAAGCCTCCTACTTTAAACATTAGAAAACCCGAGAAAAAACGTCCTGAAAGAACTTTAGTCAAATCCAAATCTACTCATTCTTCCTGCCGATAAAGGAAATGCCACTATCATCCTAAATACTTCTTATGTTAATAAACTATCAAATCTCATTAATACTCTAGACTACAGACCAATTCCTAATAATCCCACAACCTATCTGGAGAATTCAACAAAAGACATTACCAATGAAACCTTTTTTCCTGTTGACATAAAACAATCTCTAATTCCTCGTGAAAAGTCTTCCAGAACACTCCAATATATGACCGACCCAAAATTTACAAAACCGATATTGCTCTTGTCCAAAACACAACCTCTCGCCGAAAATGCTTCATCCTTTCGTCATTTTATAGAATTTCTTAAACAATACCCTATCTCAACGTCAGATATTCTAGTAAGTTTTGATATCGTTAACCTCTTTACAAACATTCCTATAGAAGAAACTCTAAACATTCTGAAAAAATAAATATGGTATCCGGCAAAAACACTTATTTCATGTTCCAAAATCAATTCCACAGACAAATAAATCGTGCTAAAATGGGCTCTACACCATCTTCAGTAATTGCCAATATCTTTATGGAAGATTTCGAGATCCGAGCACTATCCACATCAATGCTTAAACCCATATGCGGGCTAGGATATGTTGACGATACATCATCATTTGCCATGTTTTATCGAAAACCCACCCATACCAATCGTTACTTGCTTACCAACTTTTATCATTTACCTTTACAAATTAATTTAGTCATTAATACCCTTGTCTCCAGATCAATACGCATTTGCGATGATGCAAGTAGGCCCGCTGAGCTCTTTAGTTTAAAACAAGCCTCATCTAAAACGGTTACCGTGAAAATCTCATCAATAGAGCATCCACAGACATCAATCTCCTACTCAATCTCAATACAAAGACTCAGACCCTCATCATACGAAAGCTTTTTTTACTTAGATCATATTTGTCACTGACAAAATTGACAAAATTCTTAAATCAAGAGGAATAAAGACAATATTTATGCCCCAGCAAAAACTTTCACCTCTTGTCCGATCAATCAAAGACAACATTTCACATGAAAAAACACGAAGTTTATGAAATTCCTTATGCATAATGGCCCCGATCTCATATGGGCCAAACAAATTGTAGAATCCAAAATAGGATTTATGTACAGAAAATTCCAGAACCATAGCTCCCATCCTCTTCTATAATCCAAAAATTGTCCGAAAAGCTATAAAAATTGAAAAAAGGCCAAATTGTCTCAATAAAAGATATAAATCGCCCATTCCACCTACCAATCAAAATCATACTATTAGAAATATTCGCGCCAACCCCCCGCGCCAATCCATAAGCCATCCTCACGGTAACCCATAGATTAAGTATACGCCACACTCCCCAAACCACGTCACCATCGACGGTATACATGAACCGTCCGCTGTTCCTAGTATAGTAGTAGTAATGCATTGGTTAGTAATTAGTGTAGTACTGTCTGGGGGCTCGGGAGACTTAGACCACGGAAGCCCTAAAGAAGATATCAAAGAGGATGTCGAAAGCTTGTCGCAATGATAATGATAATCGACGCGATTTAATCGAGTCGTGTATTTCCATGCAAGTGCTTCGGAATTTTGGGAAAAACTTATTTTCTTAAGACGAAATTCTTATTAAAATAAAACCAACTTGTCGACGCAAGTATACTGTATCCAGAAATTTGGTGTCTCATTATAAAAAATATTTTAATAACAACTGTAAAACTGAATAATCGCTTGTAAATACTCTATTGTTGTATATTTATCACAGCTACCCAAGCTGCCAGGACCGGCATATAGTACAGCACAATTACATATAATCAGATCAAATATTATCATCCAAGCATAATGTCAAAAAACTCTTTTTTAAAACATATCTACAAATTGCCCATAATTATTGTTATTAATCAATATTTTACGTCTCAAAGAAGTGGAGTAACGTAAGGAAGAAGGGGAGTAATGTGTACCATATGTGTTGAGTAAATGTCTTGTTACTTTAGTAAAGTCTAACTCCATTGTCTTTACAAAGAGACGCTAATTGTATCCGAACGTCTGCGGTCCCTCCGGTGAGTACCGATTTACTCATTTTAAAAGGTTCATATTTATTCATGTTGACTTGTTTGTTTAAGTTTTTCGTTTCATGTCTGAAAACGTTGGCAAAAAATAGAAAATTTCATTTGTCCAGAAGAAAAGAAAAAGAAATTTCACATTTGTTCCCAACTTTTTCAGACATATACTTATACCTTTATACTTTACTAACAATTGAAAAACTCCTTCCCTACACAGAAATATAAAATACATATAATCATATTCAGCTAGATGTATATACTTAATTAATTCATTTTAATTTTCTTCACTATTTTATTATTTCACTTGCAATTTGTTTAAACAAAACAAAAACTGTTTATTACTTTCAAATTTGGATACGTTTAATAAAGAATCGGCACAGAAAATGAATAATAATTAATATTCTAATACTCTATCAATTATGTATTTTCCCTTAATTATCTAGATATTATTTAAATTAAATGTAATTAAATGACCAATAAATATAAAATTCGTTTAGCCGACCTTTTTACTATTTACCTGAAAGGCAAATCTCTTTATGGCTTCGACTTTATCAGCGGGATACTTTTAAATTCTGCATAAGTCAGTTCTTATAATTGTGAATGAAGTTTACCTAATATTTTTGTACCATCATTCAGAAGATTGTAGAAAACTTAAACGATTAATACTTACCGTTTCTGAAACCAGCACAGAAGTTAGTGTCAGAAGTGAACCGAGCAAAAAAGTCCCTATTCGAGTAGATACATTGGATCGTTGAAACAACTGGCATTTTTGTCCTGCATTAGTTTTTCTGATATTTTCTTGTTTTCGTCAAAACCCCAGCCAATGACTGTACCTAAAATATTGCAACAAAATAATATAAAAATACAAATTAAAAGAGAAAACTCTTATATGGTTGGCTGTATACCATAGTTTCAAAAAATTTACAATGAGTAAAAACTTCTGATGTAAGATGGTATATAATTAAAAAAAAATTAAACGGATTAAAATTATCTTCAAAACGTTTTCGGTCCAGTCGGATCATCATCAATAAAACCTAAAAGTAAGTGTTTCCATGTTAAAAATGAAGTAATATTAAAAAGTCCTAATCTAATCAGTTGGCTGGTTTCAATCGCTGGAGCAGGTTGTCCACTTTTCGAGCAGAGATAAATATGTTTCCTTAGAGTGATATCCTATAATATCGATCTCATGTCATCTTATTTTTAAAATTTAATATATGTTTATGTAATCTAAAGGTTATTTTACCTAGATATGTAGCTAGTTTCAACTACTCTCAAAATGTAAGTATTTACCCTATGCTTATTAGTTTAACAGTTAAAATTTTTCTTTTTTGTATTAATCATTTTTAATGTGAAAACACTCTCTTGTAGGTTTCACTGATGATGATCTGACTGCACCGAAAACGTTTTAAAGATAATTTCGTTTGGATAATTTTTTAAAATTTTTATTAAAAATATGTCATCAAGCATCATAAGTTCCCTAATACTTTTAATAATAACCTTAATTTTAAAAACTAAGTCCGCTGTTTGGGCTGCATAATACATATTTTAAAATTCATTTTAAAATAATGGATACATGAATTGACAAAAAAATGCATGTGGTAAAAGAGACAATACCGACTAATATGCTTTGTGTTGTAAGTAAAATTGAACTGTTAATTATACTGAAAAAATTTTAAACCTCTGATCTTAACAAAGAAATTTGCATTGAAGTAACATATAAAGAGAAGAAAAACAGTTATTCGTATAAACTTACCATCTTTGTTGACAATTGATTCCAAGTTGGTATCATCTTCCCAAAGACAAACAGGTCTAACATAGTCTGTTATTTCAACAGGTCGTGACAACTTTATAATTGCTATATCATTAAAAAACATCGAAGAATTAAAATTTGGGTGAATAGTAATTTGTGAAACATCTCTGTCTTGGGTCTCTGGCCCAAAAGTCCTTAAGTTATATTTTCCTAAAAAAAAACATGTCACTTCTATTATACCTAACAATGTTAATATTTATTTCTGATTATAAAGCTGAGGCTGAGCTGCAGGCCTCCAACGGGGTCACATATGACTCTTAGTGCTTCAGATACGAAGATTAGATGCGAATATACTGAATAAGTAGTCCCCGTCCAAGCAGCGGCGATACTGAGAGTGCAGTGGCTTAGGAAATAATATTTTAAAATATTGTTCTGAAGTTATTTTCTTGTGGCATTGTAATGCAATATACTATTTTGTTGGGAATAAGCCACAATTTTACTTTAAAGTTAAGTTATTTAACGTTATGATTTCCATTTAGGAAATCGTTCTCAAAATACAAAACATTAATAAACTAAACAATTTTGTTTTTGTTGTTTGGTAAAAAATCTTTTAAAAATTTAATTCTATCTGACTCATTCATATTAACAATTCTGATATATATTATACACTTTAAAATACAATTTAAAATGATATTGCCAATATTTTTGAGTTGCGTTCTTGGGACAACCTTATTGTAGGATACTTCATTCGGTTACATGAAATCAACTTAAACCTAACACTATCCGTCAGAAAACTGTAGCATGTGATTTTTCTTTAAAAAGAAAACCACACGCAATGATGACAGTAAAATTTTAGTATTAGTGATCCTATAGTAAATATTGAGTAAACCAGGAAAAATACTATCCGGAAATGGAAAATGTAAGTATTTGGTCTTACATATATTTTTACTCTCAATATTAACGCCAAATTGATTTTATATTTTTATTTATTTATTTATTTATTTTATTTACTTATTTATTTATTTACGGGATGTCTCTATTTTTTACAAAACTTAACAAAAATAAAATATGCTAATACAAGTATATATTAAAACTAAGTATTAAATAATGTTAAATATATTATTGTGAAACAAATGATTAAATTAAGTAAATTAAATTAAATTTGCTGAAGATTTAATAATAAATGAATCTTTGATTCCTAACATACTCAGTCAAAAGTGATTAAATCTTACAGACTTTATATCCACCAGATCATGAGATTGGTTAACGTCATTTCCCAGGATCTGAATCCTGTTAATAGGAGAGAATTTGCCATGGTTAGTGTGATAGTGTTTTATAGAAAACAAAGGCATGTCCTCTAAGAATTCGAGTGTTACATCTGAAGTTGATAAGACTTAAAAAATCAAAACAATCAGTGGTATGGTCAAGTAGTGTATGGAGAAAAACTAGATCACATTTAGTACTGTAGTCTTCTAAGGAACTGATATTCAGCCTGGACCTTAGTTCTACCGAAGACATGTTCCTTAAGTTTAATCTATAAGCTCAAATCCGGAGAAACTTATTTGAATTTTTCAAGGCGTGAATATGGTTAAAATAGTATGGTGACCTACTATAGAATAGAAGCATAAGACAAGATGCTACGGACGAAAGTAAGATATAAAATTCTATATGTGGGTACTGGAAAGATCTCGAGAGTTTCTTAAAACCTATATTTTGGTAAACTTTATTTGACAAATTGTTGATTGTGGTATAAATGACAAGGAACTGTCAAATAACACTCCAAATCTTTTATTTTCAGTCACTCTTGATAGAAGACTTGTTTAATGTGATAGTCAAACACAACATTTATTTTTAGATTTGCTAAAGGATATAACAAAACACTTATCTTTATTTAACTGGAGACCATTGGAAAGAGACCAATTATACAGGGAACTAAGGTCTTCCTGGATAATTAGACAATCAGATAGATTTAAAACTTTAAAATATAACTTAAGGTCATGAGCAAATAGCAAAAACTGACAAACCTTTATTACCTCAGAGATATCATTAATAAACAAATTAAAGAGAATAGGACCCACATGTGAACCTTGTGGGTCCCCTGGACTGACCAAAATATGAATTGAAAGTGAACCCGTTATAAAAGCAAACTAAATTCTTTCAATAAGATAAATACTTAACCCTGAAAGAAACCACTCAGGAAAGCCAATACATCTAATTTAAAGATGAGTAAAGAATGGATTACTATGTCAAAGACTTCGAGAAATCAGTATAGATGGAGTCCACTTGGTACCCATCCTCGAAAGCTCTGATAATGTAATCATGATACAAAACAAGATTTGTAGATGTAGATTTAACCTGCCTAAATCCATGTTGCCAGTATCAGTATTATTATGTCAAGAGCCAGTAGGAACCAGGAAGGGAGACAGGCCAACATCTAGATTTAAAACTAAAGTCGAAGATGGACTTGAGGATCTAGGATCAAAATTGGAAAGCCAGGGCGAAGGATAGGGGAATGGAGACTAATTCTTAAACAGTGTAAGACCCACCCAGGGTTTTAGACCAAAGATGATGATAAATCCATGTTGTTCATTAATCAAGAGATTCCTACAATGCTAAGTAAGACATTTGTTTAGAATTAGTTCAAAAGTTTAGGGATGGCAGATAACATACATAACAACAGGCCTAATATTTTTTTTAATATTGTACTCTGTCACCGTTTTTAAATACAGGAGATAGATAACTGTCACGTGCAGCCATCTTACTAGGGAGGTTGTGTAAGTCTAAAACATAAATGAAATAATATCTTTGTAAAAGGATTTGGATGGACGGTAGACCACATTTTTTTAAATAATTGATGAGATTCGACCGTTACTCGATGGAGAAATTCATTTTATGTAACAATAAAAACCACTGAATACCTTTGGTTTTCAAAAGCTTCCAACAAAATTTTGTGGAAGTTTTGAAAACAAAGTTTTTCAGTGTTTTATTGTTACATCTTTTTAAGAAAATATTATCAGGGTCCATACACTCAGTTTATCCTTTAGACCATTTAATAGGGACTCAAAAGATTTCAGGAATATGACAATTCGATAAAATGGAATGTCAACAGAATTTTTTACTTTAAAAAATTGATGTTCACTTAAACTTTGTCTGCGCGATAAACACTAGAGAAATGACTCGGGCAAACAAGTTTAGCGATTTCCTCACTTGATTCAGCTACAGAAGTTCATTAATAATGCATGACATTTGGAATGCCATGGCTTTATATTCAAAGAGTTTATATGGTTCCAAAATTGTGTCTTGGAATCCTGAGTGAATAGCTACCTCAATGTTGGAGATATAAGATCTATTACCATTGATACTGTTAAGGTAACAGGAGTATGTTTGAATCTAGCATGAGCAGTTTTTTTTTTGGAAATAACAAGTTGTTTTTTAATTCTGAGAGAAAACGCAACGAGGGAAATTTTGAAGGTTTATATGTTTATTTCGGAACGAATAGACAGGAATATTGGGGGGGGTTAATTTTCAGAAAGCACTTCATGAAATTTATTTACTGAGATAATAATATGGTAGAATCATCAAAAAACTAATATTTTCCAGTCAACTAAGGCAAAAGTAATTAATTTAGCCACTATAAAACTGTTTGCATTATGAATAGTCAAAATAGTAGTATTATAATCGGTTTTAATCATTATCATTAAAACTCAAATGACCACAAGTAATTGCCACATGATAAAAGTAATTGGGAAGCCAAAGTGTCCACTGCCTCATCACATTGACAGCGTTTCTAATAGTCTTCATTACGTGTGGAAAATGAGATCCAAAAAAATATCTCCACGTTGATATCGGTATAATATTATTATAGTCTCAGATTCCCAGGGTAAGAGAAGCATTCGCGCATGATCAGCTTGTTGGATATTGTTGTGGGCAGTCAACGAGCAAGCCCTCTGCATTTGAGTAAGCCCAAGAAGCATAGTGGTATATTGTAGTCGCCAAATAAAGTATACAGGTTCAATCTGGCCTATTGTTTTTTAATAGTTTTCAACTACTGAGCAATGACTAAGGTAAATATCTTCTAATGAGTTTGAAGGAATGTACACTCCAATCAAGATAACTGATGCACATTCATAATCCATTTAAACAAACAGATACTCAACATTATCAATGTCAGATTTGATTTGTTTAGCTTTAAAATGGTTTCGTAACAAAATTAAAACTTCTCCTCCACGCTGCTTAGTGCTAGGTCTTAAGTTACGATCAGAATCTGAAAATGTGGTAGCCAGAGTTTAAACAATTCATTATCTGGAATAATCTTGATTAAGCCAAGTTTCTACCAGAATATGACATCATAGTTGCATTGGAAGATGGATGTCGAAGTTCATTGAGTCGAGAACATATTCCTCAAGATTCTGATATATACAGACATATGTGTTTATTGCGATTGTTTTTTTGTGCAACTGTTCGGAAGCCCCTTTGTAAATTTAATAATCAAGTTCAGGATTCTCCCTTCTGTTCCCTCGAGGCACGCCCCCAACTGTGTCAAAAAACAGTTTACAAACTGTTCCGGTTGACAATTTCGTTTTTGTCGAAGCCTAATTTTTATGCAATTCTCAAATGCGATTGCGCTTATTAAAGTGCGTTTTTGACTAAATGTCAGGTGTGGGTTACCAACCTTTATTGGCCTGTTTTTTGCCATTCAGATGTGTGCCCCACTACGTTAATATCTTCACCATATCGTTCTTCTAAACAACAAGACCAAGTGATGTAGAAAATGGGAGTAAAAGCGCTGTTATCAGCATTTATTCTGTTCTTGGTGATCATTAACTTGTTGATTCAGGGATGCCATACACCATCAGAAATTATTAGGCACGTACAGCACGGTCCTCAAGAAACTCGTGCAATAATGTTTCCACATTAGTTGGTACCACCAACGCACTGCTGTGTATGTTTGCCTTAAACTGCGTCTATAATGTATTAATAATGATGTATCGTCGCTATGTTATTGAGACTTACTAATAGTGGTATTTTATATATAATATATATTTATATTATGTCTATTATGTAGTTATTTATATGTATATGATATAAATTATAATCTATATTATTGATAATTTAATATTTATTATAGGAATATAGTTATTGCTATAAAAAATTTATACACAATATTTTAGAATTGTGTCTTAGGAATGACCTAAAAAATATTGTTTAAA